TATATACAAGTAGAGGAGGGTAAGATGTTCTCTCGTAACCGATGTAGGACTAAACCTACTACTAACAAATACAATAATATCAACGTTATGATGTGTTGGGCTTATGATGCTAGTTTCCAAACTTACTTCATTCGACTTGTAGACTGTCTGGTTGTCAGAAAATTAGAACTGACATTCTGCATGAAAGGTCATTTGATTTTAGGGAAAATTGCTTTTTAGCCCTCCAGATTTGCTGACACCCCTCTTGACCCAAATTTGTATGCAACAAACCCCTTGTGACTGTATTCAGCTACAAATAAAAACTAAAATACACATTTTTCCCCAGACGTCACATCAATTCAACGTGCCTTTCAAGGGGAGAGTCTCACTTTCTTTCCCTCTCTAAGTCTTTATTCTTCTTAAAGTTCCCTAACCCGAAAAGCTTGATTTTGATCTTCTTCAAAGTGCGGGCGGAGCCGGAGGACGAGGTGGTGGTTGTGGAATCAGAGGAGATTAGGGTTGAGATAACGCCAATGATGAAGATGGAGGAGATGGTGCGGTCGTGGCCTGATCCGATGAGAAGCACTGGGCTGATGCCCTCAACTAGCTTCACCTTTTGGGCCCAAATGAGTTTCTTGTCCCCTTCATCTTCATATAATACTTTGGGCAAGCTCCCCTCCCTCTCTCAACATACTCATGGATCAAACAGGGCCGGTTCTAAGATTTTAAGGGCCCTGTACGAAAAGTAAACACATGCCCTTCTCTATATACAAAATTTTAATAAATTCTAATTTGAATCCCTAAAATGCTAGGGAACAAAATGTTACTGATCAGACATTAAAATGTTACCTGAATTTTTTGTATCTGGATAGTCTTTAATATACTTTTCAAGTGCTATTTTCCATTCTTCATCTCTTCGGTCACCTATATAAAATGTTACTGATCAGATAAATGCATGTGATCCAACCTTAATAAAGCTTTCCAATAGAGCAAATAGTCCATAATAAGAAATACTTGCATATTATGTTCCTCTTGTATCTGTGCTTAACTTCATAAGAGATATCGAAGCCTTTAGCATCAAAAAGTATCATCGAATAATTGTCCTTGCATTTTTAGCTGCAAAATCACCAATTAAGCCTTTTACATCAATTTTATCTATAAAATCATTTTCAATGGATATCAAAGCTAGTCCATTTAGTCTTTCTTGTGACATGGTCGATCTTAGATAAGATTTTAATAATTTTAATTTTGAAAAACTTCTTTCTACATATGCGACTATAACATGTATAGTCAATAATATTCTATAAGCAATACATGCATTTGGAAAACAATTTCGTATTTTTAAGAAATTCAGTATATCAATAGCCATCTTTATTTTTTTTGGTAAAATATTTCGTAAGATTTTTAGTTCTCCAAATAAATCTTTCCCATTAAGATCAGAAAATGTTTTATATTTTAGAAAATTTTTAAGATTATCACAACATGCTTTCAAAATTATTATCATCTAATGAATTTAACTTTTCTGAACCAAATAAAAATCCAAAATATCTTCAAATACTTTATATTGCTCAAACCTTTTCTTTAGTGAACCAATAGCTTGATCTACAATATCCAAAAATAATTGATTCTAAAATATTCTTCAGCTGATTATGTTGTCTGCTCATTAACATTCTCATCAAATTATATTTTTCTATAGATTTGACGTTTTACTTGAAATATAGAATTAATTTTCATTTCAGTAGCAATTTCTTTAACAATTGTCATAGCTTGTGTGAGCCCAACTTCTCTATAATCCTCAAAAAACCTAATCAATCATTTTACTTGATATATAGTAATATCAATAAGCATGTCTTTAGATTGTAAAGATTTACTAAGTAAGTTAAAAGCAAACAATATATCATACCAAATAATTATACTTAATAAAAATTTAAAATTTCCAATTCCATGTGTTGCTAAAGAATCTGTTTCACTCCTTATTTTGGAGTCATTATCAGTTTATGCTAACTGAAGTATTGCTTCTCTTATTCAAGAAATGAGAACATGCACTTGATCTGATTAAATGCATGTTCTCATTTCTTGAATAGAATTCATGAAGCTTCATAGTTAACAGCGTAATAAGATACCTTGCGCACTTGTAATGGATGAAGTTGTTGAATTTCCCTTGATTGAAAGGATGAAGAAGACTCATTCACTCATTTCCATTACTTTTTTTGCTCAATTGTTACTTCTAAACACTAACGTTTGTGAAGAGGAAGAAAAGGAAGGACAAAGAGGCAATTTTCACTGATAAAAGTTAGATATCAGTAACATTTAGCAAAAAAAAGTTATATTTAAATGCTATTTAAGACACTAAAATATTAAATAGTACTAGAAATTTAACATGTAAAATTGCACATGATATGAAAAAGTTTTAAAAATATTTTATATATTTATATGTAAAGAAAGTGTGCATTTGATTCTCAAAATATATGAAGAGAGGATGTGTGTGATGATATATAATTGTTGTTTTAAGAAAAAAAACACTATTCCTGTCCACTTTCTTCTATCACTTTTTATTTTTCTAAAACAAACTTATCATTTTTGTTCCTATCATAATATAAATACAGGTCAATGTTAGTTCTTTCATATACACATGAAGATATGATATGGAATATTCTAGAAGAAAAAGAATGAGAAAGAAAATAAAATAAAATATCTCCTTAATGACATTACCTTCTTGCCCTCCCAACTATAAATAAGCTGAGGATATGTTCTCCAACCTTTTTTTTTAACTTTTTTGCCACCCTTACTAAGAGTTTTATGTATGAATACATATACATATCATGGTAGATGTATAAAGTTCTACAAGAAGAAGAAAGAGAAGAAAAGAAAAAATATCTCTTTTATTAAATTAGTTCTTTGCCATCTTAACTATAGTTAAAATGAGAAATCCCCCAATCTTTTAACATTTTTATTACCCCCACTAATTTTTTATATGTCAGTATGAATACTTATTTGTTATTGGTGATATTAGATCATTAGATGTTACATTTTGTTTTTTACATGTGATTTTTTGCTAATAAATAAAACATTTATTTTTTTATTGCGTCATACATTAATAACTAAATATGACATTTAAATATAAAAATAAAAATGTAACAAATATGACATGTAAGATCCAGAAGTCACAAACATTTTAATTCCAAACCCTCGTAAGCCAAAACAATCTCCTATCAAAAGTGGCTTATAATCTATTTTTTCATCAAGCACTTTGGCAAATGGGTTGATTAGAATTCATCATTATTGTCAAAATGATCAAATTAGATGTGACAATGAGTTTACATATTGAGTAGACTCTAAAATTATCTTAACTGTTGAGCAGTAAACTTGACTATACACATCTACAATGTTCATTAATAGATTTAGACTAAGGGTGCTAAACCGTATTTGTATTCGAAGAAATATTCATAATCGTATCCATTAGGATACGGATATGGTTACTCAAATCTACAAACAATAAGATATGATTACGGATATGGTTTTGTAGAGAAAGATCTGGATCCAAATCCAGAATATCCGAATACATATTAGTCATCGTATTATGATAGTTTTAATCCTTAGATTATGGATTTGAGGTTATTTTGATGATCAAGATGTCTAATCTTAGCTTTTTAGATATAATGAACATATTAAGGAACAATTTTTTAGCTTAGGAACTATATATATTTATTCAATATCATCTAGTTTTCTCATTTCCAATTTATATTCTCTTGCATATCCGCTTATATATCCGCATGTATATCTGTATCAATATCTGATTTTAGCGGATATGGTTAGGAATTTTCCTTACCAATATATATCAGTATGTGTATCCGTATCCGAGATGGGTAAGCGGATATGGATATGGTAAGTATCATATCCAAGTTGTATCTGGACCGAATGCACCCCTAATTTAGACTGCTCACTTTCACTATCCCTAGTTTAAAAAAAAAAGCTCATTCTTTATGAAATTCTCAACCTCTTCATCCTCTTGATTACTTTTTTTCTCGAACTAAAACTCTAGAATTCGCATAGATCAAGACTCTTCTTCTCCAGCAGTGCTCGAGATCTCAACATTCAATGAGTCAAAATTTGTCCATCTTTGCCACCGCACCATCTCCGGTACAGTCGCCAGTGACGATGACTCCTCAAACGATGTCACGATCATATCCAACAGTACTAGCTTTCAAATTTTAAAAAATAAAATACTGAACCTCATCACATTGATCTCGATCTCTTGGCTTGATCTTTATATTACATCATTTTCTTCAAATCAAAGCTAAAATTCCTCTCTAGATTGTTTCAAAATGAAGAGCCAAACTCGGAAGAGAGAGTAATAACAGAGAGGAAATGGCTGCATTTTTTAGCCATAGAAGGAGAATGAAGCTAAGAAAATAATTAAAGGGTAGAAATGGAAAAGAATAAAACTGATGAGCTATCAAGTGACTGTAGGGAGGCAAAGAGATATTTCTTTGATTTCAGGGGCTTGTGAGCATATGAATTTTTTTCAGGGGTGTGGACGAATAGATTTCCAGACCCAGCTAGCTCACTAGTAAAAAACAGGACAGCGCAAATGGTCGGAATTGCCCAAACGGTTACAATCATTTGGGCTAAAGCCGTTGGGAAAAAGTCTACCCCAACGGTCGCCCAAATGGTTGTAACCGTTTGGGCAAAATCCCAAACGGTTGTAACCGTTTGGGCAAAATCCCAAACGGTTGTAACCGTTTGGGATTTTGCCCAAACATTTATAATCATTTGGGATTTAATAAATTGTTAAATGGTTAAAACTGTTTGGCCAAATGTTAGCCCAAACGGTTAAAACCGTTTGTGCAGTTTTTCGCCCAAACGGTTTTAACTGTTTGGCCTGTTTAGTGTCCAAACGGTTTCAACCATTTAGGCTATTTCTTTTACTATTTTTTAATTTTGACTTTTTTATTTATCTACCTGTTTATATACACATCTCACACAATAATTACTCAACATCTCACAATAAAATCAAAGTATTCTCAAACTTTACTAAATATCCATTGTTATATATTCATATACAATGTTTACTTAATATACAATATTAGAGATAAACATAAACATACACAATGATTATTTCCAATCTCTCACAATGAAAAACATCTAATATTATATATTTGTCTCTAATATCCAAAATGTCCAACATAATATATCCAGTAAAGGAACAGAAGAAATTCCTCGAAGAATGTCCTCCTGAGACAAACCCAAACGCCTCAATCTGCAAATATCCTAACAAGATTCTCCTGTGATAAACCTTGAGAACTGGAAGTAGAAGTGTTAGTAGTCGAAGCAGGACGAGCAGAATGTTGTATATAGGCTGCGGGCTGAGGAATTAGAGCAGGACGAGTAAAAGATGATGGATCATTAGGAGTGCGAGCAGGACAATCGCCCTGAGAATTAACCTGTAAAGTAATAGCAATGTATGAGTATATACGTGCCTGAGTGTGAAGTCTATGCGTATGTTTATGTGTATATAAGTATCAGATGTATGCATATTTGTGTATGCTAGTGCACATATGTATGCGAGAGTGTGTATATTAGCATATTTACCATATTGTTATTAATCCAATGCATCTGAGACCTAAGCTCCTACCTGAGACTATCCATCTCAGCTACCCGATCTCTGAGACTATCCATCTCAGGTACCCGAGCTCTAAGATGAGCAACCTCGCGATGTAGCTCCTGATTAGAAGTGTCAATTTCTGTTATGTTAGACACCCTCAAATAATACCGAGTGACACCAATGTCCATGGCTCTTTCATAACCACCGTGATGCCCTCCGTGCAGGGAATCTAACATCTGGGTGAAAGAAAGTGTATTATCCTCTGGGGTTGAATCGACCCCTGATGAGGTTACCTTTTCGATGACCCGCTCCTATACGATACAAAGTGTTCAGATATATTTAAGAAAAATTTAAAAACATAATAGAAGTATGATTATAGCAGATTAATCAGCAAACGCACTCTACTAAATGGAAAAATGACTGTAAAAAAGAAATAATCACTTCCAAATACATGTATTGCCCGTGCACAATACTAGCAGTTAGGGAGGTTGCAAATGTATCATGTAAGATGCTAAATATATTGTTCATGCAAAATTCCCCAAGTAGATGGTTAGAAAGAACATGCAAGACATAAAGTGTAAATGGCTGCAATGAAAATATAGGTTGGTGCAAAAACAGTGACAGGAGTGTTTTAAGTAACCCATGATAACAAAATGTAACTAGCATACAATGCAAATGGCCAAAACATTAGTCCCTGCTGATGAAGATAAAAAATATTGGCATACAATGCTTCATCTAAAAATTACTCTTCTTTGTTTGCACAAACTTTAGAAAGGTTGTATACAAGATAAATATTCACGTGCATCAATTGTTCAATTACATAAACAAGATGAGAACAAATATAAGTGATTTTTAAAGCAAAATAGAAGTATGATTATAATATAAAAGCACATAAGGCTTCATCTAGAACACTTACACAATACTCCTTAGTCCTGTTGTCCGGATATGTATACTCTCTGGTGATCTTATCTACTGATGACGAGTGGGTACCCAAATATAGTTTCAACATTGTAGTTGTGCCACCATCCTCAATGATTTGACATTTTTGCAATTCACCAAAAATATGTTGTATAATCGATCAAAACATTTAAGAATTATATAGTCTGAATTTTAATTAGTTGTAAGAAGCAAATTTACCAATTGTTCCATAGCCCGACACATGTTCCTCGAGTCACCTGTATAGGTTGCTCTACCATGCAAATTTGACATCCGATTCTGCGCATTACGTCTTGCCGCCTTCTGCATGTTATTACAATATTTAGATTTGTAATCAAACAAAGGCAAAATTAATTACTAACTAAACAATTGATTTAAATTAAACTACACACCTTCTTGTCCTTTGATGTGTTTCAACATGTGCCTCATTCCAATTACTATGCACTGCACGTATTTCATCCTTGTGTAATCTAATGTCAAAATGAGTAGTTAATGTGAGAAGTATATTATGTCATATAAACATATATAGTTATGCGAAATAGACATACTCTCTAACTTCTCCAAGGCATTTGAGATTGAGAAGGATAAAGCGATTAATCTTCTTGATAAATGCATGCGTTATTCTATTATAATTCGGCTTTTTAGATGGTTCGTCATGGATCATAACAGGCCTGTTGAGTTTTGTCGCAATGTCTTCATCCAGATAACGGGAACAAAAAGTGGTTACCTCCTCTAGCAGATAACCTTCCATATTTAAACCCTCTGGTCGATTTCTATTACAAATATAATTATTCAGAGTGAGAAGGTACCTACAAAAGCTTACACTAAATTATCGCATTCAAGCTGTAAAATAAAAATATATCGATTATGTTATCTGAAAAACTAAAGGTACCTTTCGATGGGGTACATCCATCAATATTGTACCGGTCCGGCAAGCCTATCCTCGGTTGCAAGATGAACACTCAGATGTATAATGATATCAAAGAATGATGGAGGAAAAATTGGCTCAAACTTGCACAAAATTAAGGGAATTTCAGCCTCTAGCTTCTTCAACTTATCATCCTCAATGTTTTTAACGCACAATTCCCGAAAGTATCTGCAAAGATCGTTGATTATTGAAGATGCTCCATAATAATATGGTGATCATGACTCTTCAACCCTTCGATCTTGCCTTTAACAATCTTTATTTTCTTACTAAATGATCCTGAAAACCCCGTAGTAACCTTCAACTCATGTAACACCTGAAGAAACTTTTTCTTCTCATCTGGTGACATGTGATACACATCATTAGAGAGTAAAAATTGGTCAGGATTGCCTGCCTTTTGTCTATGATGTAACTCTTTTCTAATGTTCCACGCCTGGAGATCCTTTCGAGCTTTGAGGTTATCTTTTAATTTTTCATCTTTACAAAGAAGTAAGTTAAGTATGTGCTCAAATACTCCCTTCTCAATGTGCATAACATCTAGATTGTGTCGCACTTTATTTGTCTTTCAGTAGGGTAGTTCAAAGAAGATATTTTTCTTGTTCTATCCCTATGGTGTTTCTTACCTTCCTTTAACTTTTTCGAAAGTCACGTTGTTTTTACCATTCCACTGAGTAAGTATATCCTCTTCGGATAATGAGTCTAGACGCGGGCAATTCTCTTTAGTACCATCAAAGTGGATGATGTCATCTCTGTATGGATGAATTTCATCCAACATGTGCCAATGTCCGTAATAACAAGTCTTATTGCTAAAGGGTAGTCTTCTCGATGTTGTCTGGAGATCATAGTAAGGACATGCAGTGTAACCATGTACAGACCAACCAGATAGCATTCCGTAGGGAGAAAAATCGTTGATTGTCCACATTAAGACTGCACGCATGGTGAAGTTTATCCTTGTGTCTGCATCGTATGTCTCCACACCATCGATGAATAAAGACTTTTAACTCTTCGATAAGAGGTCGAAGATAGACGTCAATATTGTTTCCCAGTAACTTTGGACCATTAATAAGAAGAGGTATCATGAAATATGATTGGTCCATAGCCAACCACAATGAGAAGTTATAAACCATCATCATAATGAGCCATGTACTGTGGGGATTGCCCTTAAAGCTGAAGGGGCAAAAGCCATCACTAGCCAATCCCAACCTGATATTACGAGGTTCCTGACTAAATGTTGGGTGCCTACTGTCAAAATCCTTCCATGCAGGCGTATCTCTAGGATGACTCATTCGACCATTTTTACTTGGACGTGCACGGTGATGCCAAGTCATCACCACTGCTGTCTTCTTACACTTGAATAGCCTCTGTAGCCTCTGTGTAATGAGAAAGTATCGTACTATCTTAATAGGTATATGCTTCTTCTGACCATGTACTTTCTTCTTATATCTAGCCTCTCTGCAAGTAGGATACTCCGTCTTATCTGAATTTTTCTTTCCAGTAAATTATACAATCATTGGGACATGCATGTATCATCTCACACTTCAGACCCAAATTAGACATTATGTTTTGAGCTTCGTACCAACTCTCAGGCACATGGTTTCCTGGAGGCATAGAATTTTTAAGAAACTTGAGGAGCGTCGTAAATGACTTGTTGCTCCATTTATTTAGACATTTAATCTGAAATAGATGGACGAACCATGACAGCGTTGAGTATTTTGCATTCTCATAAATGGGCCTCCTAGCATCATTCATGTATTTATCATAATTGTCTTCACGATGTCCTCCTCCGAAAGGAGGATCTTCATTAGGGTTAGTGTTACAAAGAGCTACCTCAACCATTTCCTCCATTTCCTCATCAAGAAATAAGTCGTCTTCTTCTTCTTGTTCTTCATCTGCATCACTGAGACCTTTAATTTGTCCATGATATACCCAAGTTTTGTAATCGCTAACAAAACCATTCTTCACAATGTGAAGTTCTACTTCTTCCTCCAATTGATGCAACCTATTCGCGCATAATTTACATGGACAAATAAGTCTCTCATGTCGGACCATATTGTGTCTACGTACAAAGTCCATGAAAGCACTAACTCCATTAACAAATATAGATTGCATGCGTTCTCCATGACCCAAAACATCCAATCCTTATCTCTGATGTAGTTACAGGCCATGCTAAATAAAATGATTTATCAATAATGACTTCTAAAAACATGGATTTAGGGAATAAGCTAAGCATGATCATAACTTTGCTTCGAATATAGGGTTACAATTAAAAGCCAAAAACTTTAAAAACGTTTATCTTATTAAATAAAATAGAAAATATGTAACTATTATATAAATCATGAGGTATTAATGTAACTCATAATTTAAGAAGTGTCTAGCGGAAAACAATAGTCGCTCATATGTTACTCGAGTACTTCTATCATGAAGCTGTACTCATACCCAACACGTACCCGACACTTACCCGTACCCAAACTTCATGAACACTCCTTGAATATATGCATACTTTTATTCTTACATATGCTCAATTATATGATATATGTTTTAATTTAAAACACTTGTCAACCTGTATATCTATATGTGGAACATACATTTGAAAAGAATAGTTCGTTGGAAAAATGGTAACATTTAGATTTCAACAGCGTTTGGGATTATACATGGTTATCTTCTTCAGCCCAAACATCATTGAAAAAAGTTCAAGATTTGTAAACATTTAGATTTCAACCTGTATAATCTCAGGAAAAAATAGAAAGATTCAGCATATAACTTCCTCATAAGATCATCAAAGTTTTTTTTAACATTAAACAAGAGTGTCAAATTCCGCTAAGCACAACATTCAAATGGATGTATAGTACTAATTCATACACAATCCATGATCATAAAAACATAAAAGATAAACTTTAATCGGAAAAACCTTAATAAAAAATATGATGATATAATCACAAAACAAAAAAAAAAAAAAATAGGGCAAGTGAATCAGGGTTTTCTTTCTTTTTTTTTTTACCAAGGGTTTGGAGTTCCTCTTGTTGATGGATGATGATGGCTAAGTAGGAAGATCGCCGGAGATGGTTGGATTTGATGGTCGCGGGGGATGGAGCTGAGGATTCGACGACTGTGGAGATAGCTTCAAGAGGGTCTGCAAGCGGATCTGAGAGGACGTACCGGAGGAGCTAGGCGAATATAGCTTCAAGAGGATCTACAAGCGGAGGAGCGACCGGAGGAGCAGCGGCACGAGAGTGATGCAGATTTGAGAGTCGATCTCTAGAGCAGCGGCACGAGAGAGAGCGGATTTGAGAGACGTTGATCTCTGGAGCAGCGGCACGAGGGAGAGGGGATTTGAGAGTCGATCTGTGGAGGTGAATTAGGATTTTTTTTTTTTGAAACAGGTGGTGGCGGCGGATTTGAGAGGGTGAAATTTTTGACGCCGCTGAGTGAAAATTTTGGGGGAGAAGGTGCGTGTGGGTCGACAGAAATTGAAAAATTTTCTTAAAAACCCTAACATAACTTATAAACGGGTGCAACCGTTTGTGCTAATATTCACAAACGGTTTCACCCATTTGGGCTCTTCGTTTGGGTTTTTCTAATAACCCAAACGGGTTCAACCGTTTAGGATAACACAGTCCAAATGGTTTAAACCGTTTTGACTGTTTTGACTTGTCCAAATTGTTCTAACACTAGTTTGGACTATCCTATTTTGTACTAGAGCAGTTAGAAGCAATTTAAATTGCTTTGTAGCATCTTGGATCTAGAAATATATCCGCCCAGCCCTCAGGAGAAAAATCAAAAGCCCATAACTTCCTAGACCAAAAGAAACAATCATTTACCCCTCACGGCACCTTACAGCTCATATATTTCCCCCCTTATTACCTTCTTACACCTTCCAAACTATGAGTAGTCACCTATTTTTCATCGGTATATGGAGCACCTCCCACAGGCTATGCGAGCAGGCACCTATCATTGATGCTGTTTGGACGTTTCAAGAATGTTTTTCTTCGTTTGGAAATTTCGTTAATACCATATTTGTTTAGGTTGCTACAGATATGGGGTCTTTTCCAAGGGTAGGGATTTTTTATTGAGATTCAATAAAGATTTATTAAATAAATAATGTAGAAATTAAACATGTCGGAGCCACCGAAGTTGTTTGTCGTAGCCGCCGAAGATGTTTGTCATAGCTGCCGAGGGAAGCATGAAGGCTATGCAAAACCCCCTCGACGGCCTCAAAATCTAAAAAGATGGGAGAAGTTGCAAGGATCGGGTTGGCTCTGATATACTATGTACAGAAAATAAAAAAGGCAAAAGATTATTTATCTAATCCCAATCTCTCTTAAATAAAGGTTAGGAGGAAATTACAAAATAGATATAAGATAAAATCATATCTAATCACATCTCATAATACTCAACAATATCTCATAATTTATATCTACTAAATCTACTAGTACCAGATATCAATAACATCTTAACAATATTCTAAAGCATAAAAACATTTCATGAATAATGATAACATTTAGGAAGACTAATTAATTATAGAAACATATTTAATGTCTTCTAAACATAAGAGATCAATTAGGGTATTTGGGTGTTTTATTAGGATTATGGGTCGGGTGGGGAACCAAAAACCAAACACAGTAACAACCTTTCAAAATGTTAGCCAATATCGGCCGATATTTGCTCAAGAAAATATCAGCCAATATTTCGCATATATCGGAAAATGGTAAAAAAAAAATCAAAAAACACTATAATTTCATAAATATCATTGCGAGAGGGCTTTAAAACTGATATATCGGTCAATATAGCGACATGTCGGCCGATTCTTACTATAGTGGACAAACCTAGGAGATTGTGTGAAATTTACCCTATATATAATAATATAAATGTGTAAATATACACTTTATGGATATACATATTCACACAGAGATACACACACATACACACATACCCACACACACATACAGAGTTGAGTATCCACTTAAAGGCATAACCTCTCATCCGCTTAACTTTTTACCTATGATTTTGCTTTGAGATTCTTGCTAGTATGTGATGCACATCAAGACAAACATCTCAAAGATTGTATTAATGTGTATCACAAATCTTTTTAAAAAACTTTAATGGGTAGGAAGTTAGGTGGACAAGTCCTCTTGTACACTTAAGTAGATTGAAGCTCAATTCTCTGTGTGTGTGTGTGTGTGTCAGTGTGCGGTTTGTGTGCGTATAGGTGTGGAGGCAAGTACGTATACAGGGCATGCATAGGTTTGTGTGCTTGGCACGAGTGTGTGCATGCCCATGCGTGCACACGTGGGTGGGCATGATGGGTGCATGTGTGTATGCATGTGTGTGTCGGTGTATATGTGAATATGTATATGATATATACATGAGTGTGATTATATGCGTGCACACACACATACGATATATACATTATTAATACATTCACACATATATATATGAGGACCCAAAGGTTGAGTCCTCCAGTAACATTATGCACCTGCAACCGTCATCTGAGACTACTGCTACTGGTATGGTTTATAGTGATTACTAGATATAGATGGTTAGCTTTAACTACATTCCAAGCTAAATTGTTGCCAGTAATCCCTACGCATAATATCTAGTCTTGATAATCACCATCAAACACCCATCAGGCAAGAAAATAGTGACTTATGATATAAATCTTCGGGCTTCTTGGTTTACTATTAAGTAAAGGAACTATTCTACAAGTTGTCATAATTAAGTACTCATGTCCTTGGATATCAAGAGACTAGTAAGTAAATAATACTTTGTATTTGTGAACGCGTGGGACAGCCTGGCAAATTGCAGGCGCGTGAATGGGTAAGGGCCTGGCATCTCAAATCACGTGAACGGGTAAACATCTAAGGTCCAGCGGGTAAACATCTAAGGCCCAATGTTTTCTCCTATAAATTGTCTATTGGTCCCTAGGGTTTTATGAGTGGGGAAGTTTACTCGGCTGCAGGAATTAAAAACGCCTGGGAACAGCAACTTGGGAAAAGCTGCGGGAAGAAAAGAAAACAGAGAGAACCGCTGGGTATTTTTTGAGCGGCTGGGTACTTGAGAGGAGAGAGAAAATAGGGTTTTACAAAAGAGAGGTTTATTTCTTTTGGGTAAAAATCAGATCTTTTTTTTTCTTTGAGACGAGCTTGTGGATTGTACAAGTCGTCGGTGTTCTTCTCATAGTGGAATCTCCCCTCACCCCTCCCGTGGACGTAGGCAAGTTTGCCGAACCACGTAAATCTCGTGTATTTACTGTTTTCTGGGTTGTTGGCTATTGCTTGTAGGTTCCCTCAATATTCGGTCTTAGAGCTTATGAGAGGAAGAGTGTATATTTTACTTTGATGAAATATATCACTTTCAATTCTTGTTTCCTTTGAGAAATAAGAATTTCATTATCTATTCTCGTTTCCTTTGAGAAACAAGAATATAGAGGTTGACTTGTGCTTTTGAGACAACAAAAGCCAGGGCTTTCTCTCAGGTGATATCGCTTCCGCGGCGGCGGGCGTGACTCTGCGCCCAACAATTGGTATCAGAGCTGTTATTCAGATTGGGAGTGGTGTAGCTTCTGATTTGAGGTCGACAATTTCCTGAGAGAAGCAGATTTATTAATACAAGCGGAGAATGGCGTCAACAAGTAAAACAGTTAAAGTGGGAAAATACGAGATTGAAAAATTCAATGGGAAGAATGATTTTTCCTATTGGAGGATGCAGATGAAGAACACGTTGATTTCGCAGAAATTGCACAAAGCTTTGGCGGGAAAAGAGAAGAAGCACAAGGATATGTCTGATGAGGATTGGGAGGAGCTGGATCTGGAAGCACGGGCGTCGATTATCCTTTGCCTTGAAAGGGATGTAGCTTTCTTGGTAGATGGAGAGGAAACGGCTGCGGGCGTGTGGTTGAAGTTAGAAAGCACCTTCATGACGAAGAGTCTAACAAACCGGATCTATTTGAAATCCAAATTGTATACTTGCAAGATGGAGGAGGGCTCATCACTCCGGGAATACATCAACAAGTTCGATAGGATAATATCGGATTTGAAGGACATCGATGTGACTGTAGAAGACGAGGATCAGGTGCTTCTACTACTTCTATCTCTGCCGAAATCTTATGAGAACCTGGTGCAAACACTGATGCTTGTGGGAGACAATTTGACGATGGATGAGACTAGAACGGCGCTTCTAGGGGATGACCTTCGAAAGATTGCAACCGGTGACATGACTACTGGTGGTAACAAAGAACAAGCGCAGGGATTGTTTGCTAGAGGAAGGAGCAATGAGCGAGGAAAAGGCAAGGGAGGAAAGTCTAGATCTAAATCGAGACCCCTTGCGGGACGAGCGTGCTTCAAATGCGGTGAAGTTGGGCATTTCAAGGTCGACTGTCCTAACAAGAGAGTAGGTGGGAAAAAGAACAACAACAAGACCGAGAGAAGAGAAGGCAAGGAAGAGGCGAGTTACGCATCGGAGGAAGGGAGCGATAAAGAATGCTATGTTGTTACGGGTGGCGAAGATACCTCCGGTAAGTGGATACTTGATTCGGGTTGCTCTTACCACATGTGCCTAAACAGGAAGTTGTTTACTACCTATAGAAGCATTGATGGTGGAACCGTATTGATGGGAAATAACCATGCTTGTAAAACGGTTGGGCTCGGTGATATAAAAATCAAGATGCATGATGGAGTGGTCAGAACCCTAACGGACGTGCGGCACGTTCCCGACTTGCGGAAGAATCTTATCTCAGTGGGTGCATTGGACTCTGGTGGCTGCAAGATTGTTACAGAGAACGGAGTAAAGAAGGTTGTTCGAGGTTCCCTAACAGTGATGAAGGGTGTTCGTCACGGTAATCTATATACTCTCTCGGGTACGACGGTGACAGGAGATGCAGCGGTTGGAACTGATGGAAGTGGTGGAGACCCATGTGAGCACACCCGGTTATGGCATAGGCGGCTTGGGCACATGTCAGAGAAGGGTCTGGTTCTGCTTGGTAAGGAGGGTTTGCTGAAGAATCTGAAGAAACCTTGTATGGATTTTTGTGAGGATTGTGTGTATGGAAAGGCGCACAGGGTCCAATTCTTGAAAAGCAATCACAAGAGCAGAGGTATACTAGATTATGTGCACACGGATGTTTGGGGTCCGGCTCAGACAACTTCCAAGGGTGGTTCCAGGTATTTTATCTCGTTCATAGACGATTATTCTAGGTATGCTTGGATTTATTTTCTTAAGCATAAGAATGAGGTATTCGAGACATTCAAGAAGTGGAAAGCAATGGTTGAGAACAGGACAGGCAAGAAATTGAATACACTGAGATCTGACAACGGTACAGAGTATAAAGATGGTGCTTTCAAGAAGTTCTGTGATCAAGAGGGCATTGTTCGACACTGGACAGTCAGGTCAACACCACAGCAGAACGGGGTCGCGGAGAGACTGAACCGAACATTGCGGGAGAAGGCAATGAGTATGCGATCTTATGCTGGATTGG